CCCTCCCCTCCCGCGCTAGCCTAAGGGCCACCTTAGCAAAGCGCATCCCAGGCTGCATAGCCGCACTACCCTACCCAACCATACCACACATAAACATGACACTACCCCCGGGGTTTACACAGACGAGCCGGCGAAGCAAGAAGAGCGCCAGAAGAAAGGGCCCTAGCCGACGGGGCCCAGCTAGGACAAAAGGAGGTCCAACAAAGCGCCTTCACCGGCCGCATTTGCGGTCGGGGTAGACGACGGATGGGGCCCACCTACATCTAGGCCTACACGAGATGAGGCAGGATAAAGAGGGATAATCCCCCTCGATCCCAAATCATTGAGGCCAATTTCTGCCCATGGAATAATGGCGCGGTTCCGGTCCACAAAAAAATTACGGTTCTTGTACGGTTTTCTGTCCAAAAACGGTACGGTCCGGGCCCTTCCAGGGAGACAAGACAAGGAGCACGAACTCATATGGAAAAATTGACAAAATTTGTCCAAGAAATGGCAGAAGTCACTGATAATTTTTACCGCTGGGGTGTCGCTAGTGTTCCATGTGTATCGAAGTGTAGTCTCCATGAGTCAGTCGATGAGTCGATAAAGAGTTTTCTCTATAAACTTCCTTTCTCTATGGTTTTCGGTTTGTTTTTGTTGTTAATTGTGATGACAGTTGGTATAAATATAAAATTTCTTATACCGCAGTTGCATTGAATATTAAAGTAAAAAAACTATGAATGTGAATCGCAATCAACAAAACAATGAGAATCAAAAAGAAGAGGAGCCATTCGGTCTGGGTTGTGCCTTGGAATATTTCTCTGAACATGAGGAAATATTTAAAATGATAGATAACCTCAAAAATCTTGTAGCAGCAGATAGATCCGTGGTAGAAAAAGCATATGAAACATTTTCTTTTATTCTCAGCCAGTATATCGAACAACCCCATTTGGTAGATTCACATATAGATGATTTGTTGCAAAAATTTATTGTTATAGTCAGGAGTAACGATGAAAACATGGAACTGAAACATTTGGCATTTAAATATATGTTCGTAGTGGTGAACGTTAGAGGATATAAAGTTATTGTGAGACATCTGCCACATGAGGTAAAGTAAAGAAATATCTAATTTAATTTTATGGTAAAAAATAATATTTTAAAACCATCATTTGATATATAAAGGTTCTCTCAGGTTGCAGATTTTGAACCTGTCCTGCAGCTATTAGAATCTCAGGATCCGAATGATCCAGAAACTTGGACTACTAGATATATATTACTGCTGTGGCTTTCAATTATTGTGATGATACCATTTCACATGTCCCGATTTGATGGATTTGACGAGAAAGAAACAGAAAAGAAAACTGTGATGACTCGTATATTAGATGTTATCAAGATTTATGCTGTTGTACCAGATAAATGTAGAGATGCTGCAGCTTACTTATCTCATAAGTTTATAACAAGGTAAGAGTCGATATTAATGGATATAGCATAAATGATGGTAATACTTAATTTAGGTATGATGTTAAAGAAAAACATCTGACTTCATTTTTGGATTGGGCAATGGAACTCAGTTTATCAAAAGACAGTAACGTTTTTGTCAAATATGGAACATTAGCTTGTATCGCTACTATTTTGAAGCACGGTAAGAGAGAAGATTTGTTACCGCATGCGAGACGTCTCCTGGAATGGATAATAAATGCAGAATTTAAAAATAATGTTGGTTCCAATATACAAAAACTTGTATATAAAATTGTGCAACGAATAGGCGAGTATATCTACAAGTAGTAATATGTCTTCTAATTATATGCAAAGTTAATGGATTCATGTGTATTTTTTTGTAGGATTAACGTTTTTACCACCAAGAGTCGCAGCTTGGCGTTATAAAAGAGGTAACCGATCACTTGCTGCTAATCTAAGTGCAGGAGATGGGTCTATTCCTAAGACGTCCAATAACGATGAAGTTGAGGAGAATGAAGATGATGATATCGATGTGCCGGATGAAGTGGAAGAAGTTATAGATCAGTTAATTCAAGGACTAAGAAGTATAGATAGTATAGTAAGGTAGGCGTAAGTTAAGAAGAAAATGGTGTTTTATTGTTTTCCATGATTTCTTTCGAGCAGATGGACAGCTGCTAAAGGTGTAGGGCGAGTAACAGGGCGATTACCCAAAGATCTAGCAGATGAAGTCGTGGGGTCCACGTTGGAGTTGTTTAGTCCTAGAGAGTCGGATGGTGCTTGGCATGGTGGTTGTTTGGCATTAGCTGAATTAGGTACGTAATTTACGAGGTAATTGATTACTTATAATCCAGTCTCAGGTCAGTGTCAGTGCAAATTACCATTAGTGTTTAGCAACTTTGTGCTTTAGATTGGGGTTGAAAGAATAAATTGGTGAAAAAAATTAAATTTTTTAAAAAATTTTTTAAATATCTCATTTTTGCTTCACTTTCTGTATTTCTGTTTTTTTTTTAATGAATCTTTAAAATATTGTATGTCATAAATTAATTAAATCAAATTATGAGGTATATCTACAAAGTAAAAGTATACAATTTTTAAAATATCGAAATGGCAGTATATTTATGAAAAATTTACATATTCAGAAAGGTACATCAAACACTATTTTTTGACATAATCATCTTCTACCTCAATGCACTTTCTGAGCCGAGGGATGAGCTTTTTGATATCTTTGTTCAAAAAATCTTCAACCCACATTTTGTCACCAGTTACAATACAGTCGAAGAATTGTTCACCTTCGGATTACACTCCTCACATTGCTAGCAGGATTTGGAATAGCAGCCCTCGTTTCAACATACCACTACAACAACAGTTCTCAACGGACTGAGACAAATGAGTGTGTGTTCTGCTCTTGTCACCTTGGCCTTAAAGCAGTTAACTTTGTCGGATATGTCTTGTATTTAGCACCAAATTCAATTAAATTAATTTTTTTCAATTGTGACAATTTTCTGTTTTGCTCTAAATTAACAGTATATGTAAACCTATTTTTTCAAATTTATTTTTTTATCGATAAATTTTAGAAAAATACATTTAAAATTTAAAAATTTAGGAAACTTTCCTACAGTTACTATATTTAATTAATAAACAAGAACGAAGGGGGCAAATATGCCAAACAAATTGTGAGTGATGCTAATATTCTCAACCTTAACTTTGAGAGCATTGTCACCTTTTCAATACTAGTTGTATGTATATTTTTAGGAAGGAGAGGTCTTCTGCTTCCGGAGAGATTACCTCAAGTGGTACCAGTTGTTCTTAAAGCTCTGGTGTATGACGAACCCAGGGGTTATTCCTCAGTGGGTTCTCATATCAGAGATGCAGCTTGCTATGTATGTTGGTCGTTTGCTAGAGCTTATGAAACACACATACTCGCGCCTCACGTAGAGGACATCGCAAGTACTCTTCTGGTCGTAACATGTTTTGATAAGGAGGTAACTAGATGGATTTATTTTGCGATCATAAACAAAAAGTTCTATCTTTCTAGATTAATTGCAGAAGAGCAGCTTCAGCGGCATTTCAAGAAAACGTTGGGAGACAGGGTTCTTTCCCTCATGGCATCGATATATTGACTGCTGCTGACTTTTTCACAGTTAGTGTTAGAAATAACGCTTATTTGAATGTCAGTGTTTATATAGCACAATTTGAGGAATATACGTTGCCTCTTATCGATCATTTGTTGTTAAGGAAGGTGGACCACTGGGACTCTGGTATAAGAGAATTGTCATCCAAGGCTTTGCATAATTTGACACCTAAGGTGAGTGTCAATTTATTATTTCTTTTGCGTAAAGTAAAAAACTTTTCATTTGTAGGCCCCTGAATATATGATTAAAACGGTATTACCAGCGCTTTTTGAAAAGACCAGATCTATCGATTTAAACTCTCGTCACGGAGCAACATTAGCCATCGGAGAAGTTATACATGCTCTATCAAAATTTGCCAAGGAGCAAAATACCGATATTAAATTGATACTTAAAGAAGATCTGTTGGAGAAAACGAGAAACTTGATCCCCCACTTTAGAGAACGTTTGTACTTTAGGGGTTTGGGAGGGGAGTTGATGAAACAGGCCTGTTCTGATTTTATTGAAAAATGCTCTTTGTCATCATTACCCTTTCACAATGAAGATATTGTTGGTATGTATCAATTTCTGCTGTTCTATTCAATATTAGAAGGTGGTAAATTTTTAATTAGGTACTTAAAACATTCTTTTTTTTTAATATATTTTAGAAAAAAACTACATAATACTTAATTTATAATTTTACAGGTTTTCTAAATCTGTCATAAATTTAGTGGGTCATTTTTGACAAAAAAAGCCGTGTTGTGTATTTAAAATTGAATTTCGAATAAGAAATTCCCATAAATTGTTTTTTCAATTGAATACTTTTAAGGCTATTTTAGATTTATTTAGGGATGGGTAAATTCCCATTTATATAATGGTTGTCTTTTATATTAGGGGAATGGATGACCTTGTGCTGCCATCTGGCAATCGACATCTCTATCGTAAAGTTCGACTTTTTGTCGGTATACCTACTCAGAACGTTTTGACGTCCAGGCGTTATTTGTGTTGTTTACAGTGACTTGAAATATTCATCTCGGCCAAAAATTGGAATGAAGTTATGAACATTTCTATGCTATTATTTTTTTCATTTTCTGACATAGATTATTCCAACAACAGTGCATCGATGAACTTAATTCAACTTTTGGTCATGAAGCACCATCAAAGACCACTGTGTGTCGGTGCTATGCAGAATTGAATTGTGGCCGTGATTTACACACTGATGGATACTGTGAAGGTCGTCCAAAATCGGTTGTTGTTCCAGAAAACATTGATGCTGTTGCAAGATCATCATGTGACTTATCATGATATTGAGGCATCCTTGGGCAACAGTGGGACAAGCATACATTAAATATTGCATGGACATTTGGCCACCAACAAAATTTGTCACGTTGGATCTCGCATAATTAGACAAAACGCTCCAAAACACGTTTATGATATCATAACAGGTGATTAATCATGGATCTATGTGTATGAATCCGAACGTAAACAGCAGTTGACTCTATGGGTTAGAATTGGTCAAAATGAGCCAAATCCAACAAAAGTTTTTTGCGTAGGAAGCACTTCTAAGCAAATGGTTGTCTGTTTTTTTGAAAAATCTAGACGTGGTAATTGTACCATTTTTCAAAGTCAGACGGTCAATTCACACAACTATTTATTTGCCAGAAGTCTTCGGAAAAATGAGAGAAAGCAATCGCTTAAACGCATTGTTCTCCATCAGGACAATGCGAGCTTTTACACATCGGCTCAAACTAAGAGACTTTTTGAGAACTGAAAAAGTCGGACTGATGAGTCATCCGTCATATAGCCCTGATTTGCACCTAATGACTTTTTTATTCCTGCACATCAAAAAAAATTATGAAATTAACCTTTTTTCGACGTCTGAAGAAGTGATTGATACGTTCAAAAATACATGTTTTTGAGATACCTCAATCGGAATATGGAAAAAGTTCTTTGAAAATTGGTTCAAGCGCATGCAGAAGTGTATTGATCTTCATGGAGAATATTTTGGAAAACAATAAAACCATATACGATGATTAATTTCTTTTTCTGTTCTCTATTCCCGAAATATAAAAGGCAACTCTCGTATAATATTCTCAAAAAATTTCTATTGCAAATTTATCAAAATTTGAGGAATTAAAAATTAATATTCTGTTAATAAGACTCCTTGCATTAAAATCTTTTCAAAAGACCCTATATTTTAAAGGAAACAAGGCAATTTGCCATTATTTTAATTAAAACACAGGTGAAATATATTGGTAAAGTCCTTCATNATTAAGGCGATGTTTCGCATCGTATTAGCTATATTCTGTACAAATTTAGTTTCGTGCAACTATCTCGGTTTCAAAAATACAATACCTATGTATGTTTTCAGCCACGAAATTTGAATAATTTCAAATATTTCGAATTTTCACCTCCAGGAACGGCGGTGACAACATTTTTAACATTAAGGCGATGTTTCGCATCGTATTAGCTATATCCTGTACAAATTTAGTTTCGTGCAACTCTCTAAGTTTAAAAAATACTATACCTATGTATGTTTTCAGCCACGAAATTTGAAAAATTCCAAATATTTCGAATTTTCACCACCAAGAACGGCGGTGACAACATTTTTAACTTTAAGGCGATGTTTCGCTTTGTATTAGCTATGTCCAGTTCAAATTTAGTTTCGTGCCGCTCTCTAGGTTTCAAAAGTACAATATCTATGTATGTTTTCAGACACAAAATTTGATTAACGTCCAATTATTTCGAACTTTCACCAGCAAGAATGGCGGTTACAACATTTTTAACATTAATGCGATGTTTCGCATTGTATTAGCTATGTTCTGTACAAATTTAGTTTCGTGCTACTCTCTTGGTTTCAAAAATAAAAAACTTATGTATGTTTTCAGCCACGAAATTTGAATAATTCCAAATATTTCGAATTTTCACCACCAAGAATGGCGGTGCGAATATTTTTAACATTAAGGCGATGTTTCGCATTGTATTAGCTATGTTCTGTACAAATTTAGTTTCGTGCAACTCTCTCGGTTTCAAAAATACAATACCTATGTATATTTTCAGCCACTAAATTTGATTAGTTCCAATTATTTCGAATTTTTACCACCAAGAACGGCGGTAACATTTTTAATATTAAGGCGATGATTCACATCGTATTAGCTATGTCCTGTAAAAATTTAGTCTCGTGCAACTCTCTCGGTTTCAAAAATACAATACCTATGTATATTTTCAGCTACGAAATTTGAATAATTCCAAATATTTCGAATTTTCACCACCAAGAACGGCGATGACAACATTTTCAACATTAATGGCCGGTCCTCATGTACAATTATTAACTGCGGAACTGCGGAGATGCGTAACTGCGAATCTCCGCAATTTTCAAACTACCGTCCAAATGCAAATGTCAAAAATAGTAGATGCGGATAACCTAGAAATTTGTACCGGTTTCTTTTCGAGTATTTTCATTGAGGTATTTCAAATAATTATCTATTAATCTTTATGTGAAATATATTTACAATGGAAAACTTTGATGAAGATACAGCTTTCTTGGCTCTTGCTGTTTCAATGAAACAATACAGAGACTGTGCTTTGAGGTATAAAAAATGTTACCGTGAAAGATTGATAAAAATGTATAAGATATACAATTCTATTCTGGAGTTTCAAAAAAAACATAAAAAAATGTGGGTGAGAGATATTTTCTTGGCTGATAATTAATTATAGAGACGAAATAGATAAAAAACAAACTAATCAGACACGTTTTCAGAATATAAACAAATACAAATGGCCGATAAATGTCACACGAGCACAAAAGTAAACACCGGAATACGGAAAAAGTTGAACCTAGTCAACTTTTATCCGGAACGCATGCGGATCTGTCACTTTTTCAAAATGGCTGCTGTGCGTCCAATATTTTTTCGATATTGTGATCACGTGATTCCGCATCTCCGCAGTTCCGCACTAAATTATTGTACATGAGGACCGGCCATAAGGCGATGTTTCGCATTGTATTAGCTATGTCCTGTACAAATTTAGTTACGTGCAATTCTCTCGGTTTCAAAAATACAATACCTATGTATGTTTTCAGCCACTAAATTTGATTAATTCCAATTATTTCGAATTTTCACCACCAAGAACGGCTGTGACATTTTTAATATTAAGGCGATGTTTCCATCGTATTAGCTATGTCCTGTACAAATTTTGTTTCATGCAACCATAGACCTAGTAAACTATGGACTGGCCCTAGAAAGAGAGGTCAATCGCGCTGATGTGTGCAAGGCAGATGAAGCTAGTTGAGGCAAATACCNTTTGTACCCTTTATTTAAAATCCATAAATCATGTGAACAGGTTAAATAACGAGAAAATAATGAAGTTAATTTAGTTCTAAAGAAATGAAATGACACTCGTGCCCATCTCTAGTCTTTCCCTCGACATCGGTTGCGTTCATCGAATTCCTATCGGTCAGAATTGAAACTGCAGCCCTGTTATGAATGGAGCGTGAGTTGAACTATTCTATCATGTGCGTTGCCTGAGGATATTCCTTACATTGATTCCTAATTTCCAATTAAAAGAACGACACTATTTTTAACCGAACTTTATTTAATAAATATGTAGTATACAATTTCTGATTTTCTAAATATTTTATAACGCTTAAAAATGTATGTACCGTGGAATTTTCGTGAATTATCACGTAAATTTCCGATGCATACCCGACACGCCACTGCGTCATGGATAATGTATCTAGGTTTATGAATGACATATCTATGTTCAAGGTTAAAGACACAAATTGTCCGCTCTCTGTTTATCAGTCTGTCAGAGGCATTCAGAGATATACAAATAAATGTTTTTTTAATTCCAACATTCCATATCATGAAAGCCTCTTGTCAAGTTATGATGTGGACTTAGAAAACTACCTGTTATGTTTTTAGAAATTCATATTTCTTTAACTTTTTTGTAGTGGACTGGTTGAAATTATTAAACGAGTGTTTGTCGTATGAAGTTGTCAATATACGAACTGCTGCAATTAGCGCTCTTCCCGTTTTATTCTCTGAGTTTTACTGCGCCCCGGATAAAGCTCAGAAGCACAAAGAAATCATCAATCAATACGTTTCCGAGGTTTTGTCTACTACTAGCCAAATTGCCAGAATGGGCCATGCGTTAGCCCTTGGTGTCCTTCCAAAGTTCATGTTGCAACCTAATTTAGAATTTGTAATCGTGTCTCTGATCGAGTCTACACTTATTACGCCAGTTTCACAGAAATGGGCCGAAGGTAGGAGAGATTCCGTTAAAGCGCTTACGTCTATTTCAACGACAATGTCAGTGGAAATTGGGAAAGGTAAAAATAATATCTAGAATTCTAACAGGGAACACAGTAGTACTTAAATTTTATTTTAGACTTTACAAAGAAACACATTTTGGAAATATATCATACATTTCTGGAGGGCCTAAAGGATTATACCCAGGATAAGAGAGGTGATATTGGCGCCTGGATGAGAGAAGCGTCCGTTACAGGCTTGCAAACGTTAATGCTTTTGTTAACGGAACGTCTACCCGAAGTATTGACGGAAGACTTGATTGTAAAAATTTTATGTGGAATAGCACAGCAGGCTGTGGAAAAAATAGATCGTACTCGAGCTCTTTCCGGCAGAGTTTTTTATAGCTTTATTTACAAGTAAGTTTAATTAAATTTTATAATCTATTTACATTCTCCGTAGTTCTTAATGTGATCTTGTGAACCATTACTAGATTTATCAATAGGATGTTACAAACAATGTTATTTTTCACTTAGGTGACACTTTTTCAAGATACGGGGTGTCAAAATTATAATGTATCTTAACTAATGATATTAAGATTAACTAAGGATATTGTAGGAAGCAACTACTCTGTGGATTAAAGTCCGAACCAGCGTTGAATTATACCCGCAATATCTAGTAAGTAGCTAAAATCATTCATCAGTAGTACCATTAGACATGGACTGATTTCTACTGATGAATGATCTTAACTGTTCACTAGATATTGTGTGTGTAATACAGTGCTGATTGGGGCTTTAATCCACAGAGTAGTTGTTTCCCACTACCAGGACTGTGAATTAATTTTGAGATTTTTTTCGTATTTTCAAGACTTTATTGTGAAAAATTGTGTACATTATTATTTTTCATAGTATTGTCTAAACTAGCCACTACTTTTTCTCACCATACATATTCTGCGTCGAAAGAACAACTAATCTTTTGATGCTATCCATTAAACTATCAGCCAGGTTTCAGGGATTGGAACAAGTAGTAATCCGATAGAGTAATATTTGGTGAATATGGCTGAAGGGGCAAAACATCCCATTTTAGCGTTTCTAAGTATTTTTTTAACTTCATGAGCAACATGTGGTCAAGCGTTATCATGTTAAAAAATTACATTATTGTGCCTTTGTTCGAATTGCGGCCATTTTTGGTTTCATTCAGTTAAAGCAGCTCATAATATACAACACCAAACTGGTCCCACCAAATACAGAGCATGAGCTTCAAACTATGAATATTTGGCCTTGCTGTCGATGTTACTGCATGACCAGACAAACCCTACAATTTTTTGTGTTTAGGATTGTCATAGCTCATCCATTTTTCATCGCTAGTGACGATACTTTGCAAAAAACCCTTTCTTTTTTGCCGTTGAAGCAACTGTTCACACATGAAAAATCGTCGTTCAACATCTCTGTTTCAATTTATATGGCACTCAATGTCCTTGCTTTTGAATTGTACCAAGTGCATTTAAATGTTTGGAAACTGCTTTATGATCAACATTTAGCAAGATCATCTTGCTTTTGGCATGAATATTGGTCGAGTAATGCTTCCAATTCCTCATCTTTGATTTTTCCGGTTGACAAGGGCGTTCTTTGTTAACTGTATCAAATTTACCACTTCTAAAACGTTGAAACTAATACTTACACGTTCTGATCGATGGAGTATGTTCCAATAGTACATGATGACTTTCAGCAACACTTTTCTTTGAATTGAGCAGTAAAAGTAGAACTGCCTGCAAATGGTGTTTTGTTGGTTCGTAATTCGACATCTTTGGAGCTGAGAGAAAATATGTGGTTTATACTTCAGCAATATGACACATAAAAAGTAAAGCCTAATGGCAGAGCGTTGACATGAATATAGTTACATAAGTATCCGATTTGATATAACATAAGTTACGCCATCTGCTGTAAATTTCTCAAAATTAATTCACATCCCAGTATAATGTGGAATGTTCTTATTTACAGCAATCCAAGGGTTCCAAATATTCCATACTATAATGAAATAACTTTAATATTCCCAAAAGAAGAATGTGATATATTAAATTGGAATTCGGCATCGGCGACCTTTCCCAAATTTGTCCAATTGATCAGACTACCTCCGTATACCTACAGTGTCATGTTGGGAATGATATGCAGCGTAGGAGCGTTAACTGAAACACTGGTAATATTAAAACGTCGATAACCGTTCCGAATTTTTAGGCTCCGTCTCTTCCAGGTGAAAAATTCTAGCCATTCGTTATTTTCCTATCTCAAAGAAGAGATGAAATCTGGGGGAGTGACAGAAATCGAGCGAATGTGCGACGTCATATACAAAATATTTGTAGATCACCAGAAAAATGACCGCATCACCGTTCCAATGTTCAGATTTCTCGACAAATTGTTCGACTCGGGGTGTTTGAGTTTAGTCATCGAAGATGTTAATTCAACCTTTATAAAGAAGATACTCAAGCTTATCCAGATGGAAATAGCTGGGTGTAAAGATATTTATAAGTTAATAGACGGAATAAATGTTCTTTGCCAGTTTATACAGGTAAGTTCTCCTTGTAAATTTATTCTATTCCAAATATTCTAATTTTCAGATAAAAGGTGAAGTTTGTGATATAGCTCTAGTTCAACTTAGTATCCTGTTATGCCATCGTCAGTCGTACGTTAGACGATCAACATCGACTAAGCTTTACGAGTCTCTGCTCGTCAATGGAGACAGCAGCAATATTGACCCAGAAAAGTTAGATGACGTTATGCAGGTGCTAAGTAACACTAATTGGGAGGAGCCCGTCGAGGAAGTTAAACCGATTAGAAATGAGTTATGTGGACTGATGGGTATCAGAGTGCCCGTACCTGCAAAGAAGAAAACGTGAATAATTTAATGAAAAATATTTAAAAAGCTTTAATATTATCAATTATTTAACTTGCTTTGATTAATAGAAATTATATTTTGAATTATTTATATAAAATAAATAGCTCCAGTCCTAAAGTATTTTGTAATGTTTTTAATATTTTAATTTTTATTATGAATGTGATTTTGAGACATTTAATAAATAATTTGTAATTAAAATGTTTTTTTTTTCATTCGGTTTCTGTATTATCTCTTCGCGGATACAGCGCTCAGTCGTGCGCTTGTCCATATTGTTGTGTGTGCCTGTGACGATTTTGGCGGCAATAGCGATGTTTACGGGGCATCGCAAGAAATCTTGGAAAGATCGGTGAAAAGTTGAGTGGTTTGTGAATTCATTTTGTGTTAGCAGAACTGCTTCATGTGTTTATTGAGAACTGCGCTATATCGGTTTATCTTCCAAAATTATTGTGGCTATTCGAAATATAGGTGAATATTATGACGGCATACTACGAGAAATGACTCACAATACTGTTGTGTTCGAACATGGAAGGAAATTAGGAAAAGCCATCAGTTATCGGTGACCGTAAGAAGTCCAGATGTGGATAAATTGTCAGTGGAAGGGTTTCCAATAAAAAAGCATGACTGGATATTATGACATGGTTAAAAAAATTCAATGACAAGACGAACAGAGAAAAGAGAATTTTAGCCTTAGCTTCTGTTAATTTTTTTGCATTTTTATAATTATGTAGGTAACATACTTTATTTTAATAACAAAATCTACGTTAAAATATTAAAATGCCACCAAATAACAGATATTTCTACCGGACATTTTATGATGCTCCGATTAAGAGGTTATACTTAGGCCCAATACTTTGAGTCTCGATTAAGGCTTGATTAATTAATCAAGCGATTAGACTGATTATATTTTATAAAATAAATCAGTATTATGTACAGTCTAATCTCCTGATCAGTTAATCAAGCTTTACCCGAGACTCAAAGTACCAGGCCTTACTATAATATAGCTTTTATAGTATAACCGTTATAGTGTCTAGAACAATATAACTCAAAATGTATTTCACGAAAGCACAGCGAATCTACGTCTATATGAACTTTCTTATGTTTAGTCAGATATTCAACCACCTGTAGAATTTTATAAGGGAAATTTCGCAACACCCTGTATAGGATAGGATTACGACAACAGTTCGTTAAGTCTACTTGACGTACTCCAAACAACTCTGTAATCTATGCTCCAAACTCCAACTCAACATCGGAGTATTTTATCGACGTTCGTTGAAGCCAATCACTAAATCTATGTTGTTCGTTATGCAGGAGTATTTCACTTTGATCAATAAGATAAGATCATTGCTCTGGTCATTTGTGCTGAAGCAAAGGGAGTAGAGCAACTAGAGCAATCAGCTGATTGCTGATTTTATTTTTATTGGTTAATATATCTGACGTAAACATGGGAATTCACCAAGATCTTTCTTTTACTGATCTTGGAAATTCACTACCTATTATTTAAGGCACACATGACAAAATGTTTACGATAGATTCACAATCTTCGTCTAAACATGTTGATACGGTAATTATTTACTTTAGTGGCACCACCTCCAATTTTCACGAAATTTTGTCTACCCCCCTATTTTCGATGGTGCTGAACACGAATCTGCAGTTTTTTTTGTGCGGTCGAACCTAGTTTTCGAGAAAAAAAATTTTCAAAATTCTAACCTGGATATTTCAGATAACACTACGTAGAACTCTGTATATTTTATGTAGCTTTCCAGAACATCTATTATGAACAATTAACACTGTTCACGAAACACATTTTCGTAAATTTCAAGTAAAAAGATATGTATTTAATAAATAAAAATTTTGTAGTTTGAATCCGCCATTTGTAATTCGTGATGACAACATTGAGTTCCCCCACTCTCATTCAACTCTGTTCATCCCACATAAAGTTACTATAATTTTATTTATTAAATACATATTTTTTTTAGTTCAAATTTGGGAAAATGTGTTTATTAAACAATGTTCATTGTTTATTACAGATGTTTTGAAAGCTACATAAAATATACAAACTTCTACGTAGTTAGAATTTTGAAAAAATTTTTTCTCAAAAACTGGGTTCGACCGCACAAAAAAAACTTCAGATTCGTGTTCAGCACCATCGAAAATAGGGGTGTAGACAAAATTTTGTGAAAATTGGAGGTGGTGCCACTAAAGTAAATAATTACCACTCTAATTATTGTAAGATCTGACTGCTCTATTTTGTGATCTAAAAGGATCTGGTGACGTCACTGCTTTGTACTCTTCATGATCCAAGATCTCTTGGAGCCACAAGGAGTAGCATCTAACGAAAAGGTTAACAGTGTAGACGAGTAACAGAGAGAGAAAGAAATACTTTGTTTACCGTCTATCCCTCTCGCGCAGGCACGTGATTGGCCAACGCAAAAATGTTATAAGACGATAATGAAAATTACTGATAAAATTATGGCTCAGGCTTAAAGCTGTTGACCGAGATGCCCTCTTGACGCCGGTGACATAAGCTGTCCTCCTAACCCTGACTATCCTGAATTTATTTACAAACGTTAGCACCACTTGGATAATAAAGATAAAAATATATGCAAAAATTGTTATTTTTTGTAAAACTAATTTTGAGCAAAATGTTATTTCACATTCTTCAACTGATTTCCGAATATATTTTTTAATTCTTCCATAGGTATTTAGGAAACTAGCATTTCAAAATCCATTCCAATATGAAGGTGAAATCAACGTCAACAGATGGCAGCATCACACTCTTAGCGGTCGACGCAATCATTCTTTTAATAATTATTGATAAACAAGTAAAATTTATGAAGGTAACTTTATTATTTATACTACTTTGTTAGATGGCCAGTACTTCTGAAAATATGTTTTGATTCTTATAAATTTAGAAAACTAGCATATTGAAATCCGTTCCAATGTGAACGTGAAGTCAAAACAAAGAGATGGCAGCATTATACTTTTATGATCGTCGTAAATCATTCTTTTAATTATTAATAACAACCAAGTTTTACGGACGTAGTTTATTATTTATACGACTTTGTTAGCTGGTCAGTATTCAGCATTTCTCTCGAAATGTGTATTTCAATTTAATAAAATTCGAGCCAACGCATGCGCACGAATATCCCCGTAACGATACACAAAGGTTGTTTTGTGCCATGAAGAGTTTCTTCAGTCAGTCAGCTGTACTTTCAGAAATGGCATAGAGGTTGTTTTGGGTGTGTTTTTGTAGTGTTGTGGGTTAATTTGTGCCAGACAATGTTTAGTGATTGTGTTGCCGTGTTATCTTTACTTTTGATATTACCTTCTATTAGTACTGGTAAGTAAAATTTGATTTTTTTTTCTTACAACGAAAAACCAACCACCCCCGACCTTGCGAGGCAGTATGGGATCATATAGCACTTACCCCTTTGTTATCATTATCATGTTTCACAATTGTAGTTGTCAAAATAAGAGGTTTCATAGAAAACTTTCATGGATTATGTTTATTTACATGTTTGAACTTGTTTTCATGTGACAGGCAGGTATATTAAGTTAATCTAGAGGAGGTGCTGCTTTATATTTAGATATAATTAATAATCCGATAAAATGAAATTTATTTATATCAGCGATACATTAGTTCATATCTCGGTTCATATTAATTCTTTATGAAAACTAGTTTTGGAACCTCTTGAGTCCTATAATACCTCAGGTTTCTTTTAATAATTACAATTTATTTGAGTTTTATCTATCTAGGTATAACTATTCTTTCTTAATGCTGAATTATTTTCATCCTCTTAAATTAATTAATCCCTTTGGCAATCCTTTAATAAGTATAAAAATATACCTATGCAATGATATCAAATTGTCATTAATATAGCAATCTTTATAGGTATGACACGTATATACACAGAGAAATACATATAAATTTTATTATAGTAATGGGCCCCTGTACAGAGAATAAAATTAGTATAAATAATAATAACGAACAATAAAGGAAAACTGCTGATAAATAATGTATTTTAGAAAAGAAAAACGAATAAATCAAAATAGGGGTAAATTCCGAGGTAAATTCAATACTGTATTTTGTTCTGTGTATAATTAGTTTTCTAACAATCCACTTGTATCTATCACGATTGAGATCACGACATTGATAGGTATTGTAGTTCCTGCAATTTTGTTTATTAAATGATCTTATAAATGCATTTTGCATAACTAATTTGTTATGCACATCAATTAAACAAGCACCATCAATAATTTGTCATGAGAACTACAAAATGTACAAAGGTCTGCTTTGTGGTTGAGTGTAAATAAATAATTCCTGTTTGGTTTTCGACACTATCCTGTGTTAGTTATTTATTTACGCTTTCAAAATTTGCGAAATATGATGTGGTTTATATTTCACCGTAATTGAGATTTTAATGAATATGAAATATTCTGCTCTACAAAGAGTAATGTGCCATTCATGTGAAATAAACTCGGAAATCAATTATCTTTCCATATTTTTTCTTTTTTGTAAATGACATTGAAGACCGATGCTGATATATTTTATACTAGATTTCATGTGATTAGGTAGGTACTTATATGCACAGGTATGCCATTTGAGTGTTTAGGTCGATTATGTATGTAAATCTCTCGCTGTATACCTATTTTTGTCTCATCACAAAACCTTAGAATATGTCTGAATATTAAAATTATTTAGGTAGGTACTGTCTAACCCTTATGTGACCATTAGTACAATAGCTATATGTACCGAAGTGTGATTTGTTTTAAAGTTGATACAGAGAACGCAGAACCTATCTATATATATCTTCTAATAATATTCGACTAAGTTTATTCAATCTCGTAAGGGGTCTCCTTCAGTTATTTATATTGCTTCCTGGTGTAGTCAGCTAAAAAATCTGGTAGGGATACTTGCCGCCAGTTTTAAATTGAATGTAAGGTAGGAAAACATAAATACGTCTTTTCCAAAAGAATTCATCACCTTAGTAATTCAAATAATTGTAATATTTGGGTTAAGGGGAAATTTGTAAATAGGTAATGATTTTGATCTCGCATTTTCTCTGCAAAGAAAGTCTGCAGAATGTGAACATAGGCACCATACAAAATTAAGTACAAGTACAAAATTAAGTGCAAGTTGCAAATTAAGATAATGTACGGTATTGTAAGGTAAGTCCGGATGCTATTGTCATAGTTTTTATTTTCAGCAAGTGAATACATTTACGATTGAAACTACAAAAGTATTTTGAACATTAAGTACTTAACTTTAATAATTGCCATTTTTAACTGACAAAACAAATTATACTTCCAATAATAAAAATTTAGTATAATTATTATTTTTCAATTGGCCGTCGCACACTGACGGCTTTGAGTCTAAAGGTTCCTTTGTAATTTGACATACTTTTCACCATATCGACTGTTGTTTAAGGCATCCTCAGTGTTATCTATATCTGTACCTCAATCTATTCCATTGTTTATTACAAAATTTCCCTCGAAGTTTCATTAAATTCAACACATGTTGCTGTTGTTCGTTTTTCATTTGAAGTGTTCAGGATTTTCAGTCTCAATGCCATTCTTTTTATTTGTGTCTTTTTTAGTTTTAATATCTTATATTCTTTAATAACTTTTCATGTTCTGTAACTTTACACCGGTCTACGTTTGGGTCTACATATAAGTATCTCTAACATTCGCTATTTCGTATTTGTTTTGAACACTTACTGTTTTTTTTTTTATTTAAAGTGATACTTTTCAAACCCAAAGGTACCCGTTTTTGTTATACCTGCTGCTGAACCCATTTCTTCCATCAATAAAATTGCGGTATTAGACATTTGAAATATATTTGAAGCCAATATTAAATTGAGCACCTAATGCTTTAAACAATAAGCACTACGATGAACACTATACATTTTTCTCTGATTTCCGAGATGATTTTATTAGGCATAATCTTTTAAGTAATATTGGAAGCCCCCTAATGAGTTACCTCTGTCCATTTTTCAAGTAAGGCCCTCATCGCCTGACTAGCCCTTTCTCATCCGTCTCATTCTAATCTTAAGATTCATTCAGAGGTCAAGGACTTGTGGCGGAAAGGAACGGTATATTATTATTCTGTAGGTTGTCTCGGAGTAGTGGAATGGAATAACTAAACAGGTTAACTGCCTTAATTTCTTATATTTGAAAACATTAAAAAATGTGGACAAATAATGTTCGTTTTTTATTTAATTTGAGTTAAGATAATTGAATTTAGAATTTGAACTCCATAACGATATACAATTTATTTTGTTTAGGTTTCTATCGAGGGGCGATCCGATAAGGAAAAAACGTACGAAGATTACAAAATTTCTGAAATCTCTTGTAATGTATCTGCAGATTTCAATATCGATTAAAAAAAATTACAAATTTCATATAAATAATCAAGATTACAATATCTTTCAACCAATTACAAAACATTTCAGGAGATTTCAGAGTTATTTTAGTAGATTTCAATGATTATTTAAGATTTCAATAGGATTATTCGAAATTAAAAGAAGATTTCAAAATTTCTTAATAATATTTCAAGGAATACGGGAAGATTACAATAAGTTTTGAATGTCCATTTGAACAAAAATAATTGAATTAACTTCAACTGTCATTCATTTCATTCATTAACAGTAGTGCTTTGATTAAGAATTTCCAGTATCATTTTTACGCAAAAATTGTAACATTCTGATTAAGTTTTTGTTCGAATGAACGTTAAAAACTTTTTGTCATGACAAAAATGATAACGCCATTTTGAAAGTAGGTAAGTATATATTTTTATTGAAAGATAAAAATATAATAATCCAATAAACTAATAAAAATAAAAAAAAAATAAGTAACATAAAATAAACATTTTCCCAAAAAATAAATAATAAGAAATATTTTAAGCTTTTATTAACACTTGTATTTAATACTTTACCTGTATACAGTGTATTTAAAAAAGACGCGGCAATATTTAAGGGGGTGATTGCCCAGATCATTTTATAAAAAAAAGTTCCTATAAACATACGTCCGCAAACGCTTCGTTACCGATCTACAGAATGTTGAAATTTCATTAAAAAAACAGTAAAAATTAAATTTCTCCAAAACCTCTTGATATTATAATGAAATTTTAGGCCTGTCAATAGCTATGGCAGACGCGTACTTTGCAATACAAAACGATTTTTTAGTCTTACCAGTGACTAGCTATTTTTAATGAAAAAAATAGGACCCCGCTGGTTTTTCTAAAAATATAATTTTTTAATTCCTTGTTCAATTATGAAGAAGAAAGCTTTCCTCAGATTATACGCACCGTACGTCACACCGTTATTGAGTAAAAAAATAAAAAACATTTTATTGCGCACCTAAACCCAATGTTGTTTTAATTGAGAAATTTAAATTATTGAACAAAGAAATTCAAATTATCAAATTTGATTGATTTTTGAAATGTGGTACATACTGTTGTTTGTAGTAGGTAATAATAAGGGGCTGCGTTTTAGAGAAATTTAATTTTTACTGTTTTTTAATGAAATTTCACATTCTGTAGATCGGTAACGAAGCGTTTGCGGACCTATGTTTATAGGACTTTTTTTATAAACTGACCTGAGCAATCACTCCCTTAAATATTGCCGCGTCTTTTTTAAACACACTGTATACAAGTAAAGTATTAAATGCAAGTATTAATAAAAGCTTAATATATTTTTTATTTATTAGTTTTTGGGAAAATACTTACCTACTTTCAAAATAGCATTATCATTTTTGTCATGACAAAATGTTTTTAACGTTCATTCGAACAAAAAACTTAATCAGAATGTTACAATTTTTGCCCAAAAAATGCCTGATACTGGAAATTCTTAATCAAAGTACTACTGTTAATGAATGAAATGAATGACATTTGAAGTTAATTCAATTATTTTTGTTCAAATGGACATTCAAAACTTATTGTAATCTTCCCGTATTCCTTGAAACCTTATTAAGAAATTTTGAAATATTCTTTTAATTTCTAATAATCCTATTGAAATCTTAAGTAATCATTGAAATCTACTAAAATAACTCTGAAATCTCCTGAAATGTGTTGTAATCTTGATTATTTATATGAAATTTGTAATATTTTTTGAATTGATATTGAAATCTGCAGATACATTACAAGAGATTTCAGAAATTTTGTAATCTTCGTCTGTTTTTTCCTTGGCGGATTGCCCTTCGGAACACACCAATCGCACCATATAGGTTTCTGTCGAGGTTTCTGTGGCATTCTTTGGAAAATGAGGTAGGGGGGGGGGGTTGTATAACGACTACATCGACGAAATTCATTAGCTGATTACATAGATTACAGCGAGGATTACA